ATTTCTAGGTTAGCATTTCTAAAACAGCAGCATGTTCTTAAGATTTAAAATAGAGAGGGGAAAAAACCTAGTAGCCACCGACTGCAAGGTGACAAATGACAGAATGTGTATCGTGTGATGCTTTAGCTTGCGTGTATGTGACAAAATGTTATCTATTATTGCTCTCAACTATAGTGAAAGGAATAATTCCACAAATTGATCTTTGATATTTCTTTTTAAAAAGTTGTATTTACCAAAACTGAATGGTCTCTAGATCCCTAGATTACACCCTGCTACAAGGAACAGGAGCATTAACTCTTTATATCTGAAATCAGCGTTCAGAAATATTATATAAATGTTCACTAAACTTTATTAGGACCTTAAGAAACCATCCCAAGATGCAAACTGTGATTTATTGTTGACCAATACCAACAAATGATTTATTGCTGAACAAAACCAATAAACAAGGGAATGCAGATTGTATGCACTAGTATTTTCTTCAGCATAGGTTATTTAAGTCAAAATATATACAACCTTGGTCTTTGAATCAATGGGGAAAAATGAATGCTGTAGATGGATTTTCAAAGGAGGGCAACATGTTGATTTGCAGATGGTAACTGGTTTATGATACTCAAGACATTTGACCTTTGATTATGCTAGCGTGGTACTCATGTGATTTGGACTCCTGAAGCAACATCTCAAAGAGCTATTGCTTTTCTCTTCCGGCAAATTTTTTTAGCAGCTCTATTGGTAGCACAGAAATGTTTCAAGCGGGATCCTTTATTTTCCTTTATGAAATTTCAAAAACATTGAATTTCAGCCTACACCATGATAGTTTACCTTTTGCAATCTGTCAGGCTGATTCTTCAGAATAGGGAATGGGGAAGAATTAAAATAGCTGTAACTAAGACAAAACAAGTTGGAAATCATTGGAAAATTTAGGTTGGAAGGAGAAACTGCCATGTTACAGGATGGAAAAGAGCTTAATGATATCCAGACTACCAGCAGGATTTGTTACCAGCCTAATAGGGTTTGGTTTTATAATCAAAATTAACTGAAATGCGTTGAAACTCCCACATTTTTTTAAGGTAACTTTATCAGCTAAATCTTGATATGAAGATTTGGTCTACTACTGGGTCAAAATCTTAAGGGAAGAAAACAATTTTAATTGATATCCAGACCTCTATCAAAGGACATTGTACTGATTACCCCCATCACAACATCCAACAATAAAAACAGACCCATGTTTTCCTAACATTACTCCCCGTGCGATTCTACCACACTAGAAAAGTATGTGTGCCAAGTGCCTTCCAGATGCAAGTTTAGGATTTATGGGAAATAGCATCCTAGTTCTTTTATTGATCCTCTGATCGTTAGTTAAAAGAAGGGAGATTTTTAAAAAGCACTTTATGAATTTGTATTGCTTTATGGCATGCAGGAAATGGTCCTCAATGTTTTCTAATTTTTCCTATAACCTTGAAACATAAAAAGTCCATTGGTTTGGATTGAGTTACAACATACATCTCCTGAAATATTTTCTCCTAACTAACCATGATTGTAATGGAATTTCAGGAACTGTTATATGTTTCTTGGATTGGCTATATAAATGTGGTGTGAATGCAGAATGAAAAGCTGAATCAACTGTTTCTTGATTTAGAAGTTCTGGCTATAGTCTTTTGAAAACCACTGACTTTATCTTCAATGGTATTCAGAGCTTAAGTAACTTCAACCTTTGTAACAAATTAGTATAATCATTATAATTGTTATCCTAATAACCCAAGCCCATAGAACTGAAATTCTTGCACAATTCAATTCCACATAAAGAAAAACAAAGGAAGACCAGATACGCTGATAAGATTTTTTTTATGTTATTCCAATAAAAAATACATTCATACAGAAATATAACAATCTTGCAAAAAACAATTTCAAATAAAATCTTGTAAAACAAATTTTTTTACAAAAATCTTACAAAGAGATTCTTTAGATAATAGGGTGCTTCCAAAAAAACCCAAAAAACAAACAAACATAAAAAGAAATTTTACGAATAGAAATTTTTTTTTCTGAAATTTCAAGCAATTTTTTTTTTCTTTCAGCTTGATTGAGGCTCAGTTATCACCTGAACAAAATGTACTCATTTAACTACAAAACTGATTTCTAACTACTGCAAGAGATTTTTTGTTTTCCAAAAAAAAAATAGCAAATGATTATGGCTAAGCAGAAAACATTGCAATCTTACCGTCTCAAATACAATGCTGGAGCAGAAAAACCTGTAGAATGCCTTGATCAAAGGGTGAGTATTATAATTCATACATGCAGACAGATATTTCCCGATCTACGGTATTTTTTTGTCTATGAAATGGCATCTCTCAATGCGGTAAAAAGTGCCCTGCATGTATGAAGCGCCATACATCTCAGACTTCCATAATCCGTAGATAATAAAAATATTTTCTTGGGAGTATTTTTTTTTAAAAAAACAAAAACTTAAAAAGTGCATTTTTGAGCATATAAAATTCAAAACGCAATGCAGATAAATGTAGGCCTATATATCTCTTAGACTCGGATAAAATGGATTTGAACATGGTTAGAGGACTAATAATATTCACCATCATTTTCAGGGGGGGGAAAAAGCTGCCCCAAAATAGCTATAAACGAGCTACGTTCTTGTGGAAGGCAGCTTGGAAAACACATTGGCTTAATGTTTGGGGAACGACTATTTCTAACATCTCGTAAAACTGCCTTGCGAATTCAGCTAAAAGGTAAAATACCCGTAGGAATAAATTCACCATCAAGGAGCACATTTCTACATCTTTTCAATAAGCTTAGAGGACAGAAACTGAGTGGGGCTGGGATTCATTTATTTAATCTTAGCGGAAAGTGTCCATTTTTAAGTAGCCCTCAATGGATTGCTCCCGTACGATGCAGAAATGGCTAAGCAGGCACCCTTAGCCCTTGGTGTTCCAATTCAATGCCCTTTTTTGGGGGGGGGAGGGAGATGAAGAGCTCACTGACCACCATCAAGAAAAGCATGAACTAGCAAGAGAAGAAGCAGAGGGCAGCCAAAACCAAACCTACAGACAAAAGGCCAAAGAAAGATGAACATGCTTGTTGGGTGAATATAGGAGAAAGGAGCTAACTTTCTTTAAGAGCTTCTAAAAGGATTTTTTTTTTCTTTAAAAGCAGCCAAGGGTCTTGCACTAATGAAAAGAATTGGAAGAAAACCAGCAGAAACCATTTAAATCCTGCTGTTTCCCCAGAGGGGCTCCAGTGCACTTTATTTGGACACCAGGACATTTTTTTTTAGTGTACAAAAGTGCTTATAGGGAAGTAACTGCGTTCTCTTGTTAAAAACTGTGCACACTGATTGAAGCTCTTCCCTCCTTTTCAGATCTCTGCTAAAAGTTTGCAAACAGTAATGATAATAATAATAATAATAATAAAAGCTGACTTTTGTTTGCTTCTTCTCCATGAAATGCAAGAAAAGAGGAAGACTCCTCACAGGCTATGACACTTTACAGCAAAGAACTCAATACAATCCTTAAAAATAATATATTATCTATATATTTTATAGATGTACACACACACACACACACTCACACACACACTCACAAATATACATGCACGCACACTCACAGCTACAGATACTATACACACAAATAGATATATACATACGTTATAGATATCCTGCCCACTTGATAATTACTAATATATTTTTTTTTCTTTTTTTGTATTTTTTTTTGTTTACTTTCCATTTTAATTAAGGGGAAGCTACATATACAGGTGTGGACATTGTGCCTTTTAAGAAATCTTTTTTTTATTCCCTTGTAGTTACTCCTGCGATTTTAAAGATGCATGAGCAAAATACAGCATCCTGAATACAGGATCTTTTTGGTGGAGAAAGGAACTAGTAGATTTGTTTTCGATAATTTCTTGAACGGGAAGAGAGAAGGATGCAGGCTAGGGACATGCTGTGCAAGATCAACCTTGTGAAAAGATGGACTCAGAGATGCATTCGCTGCTGGATTATGCCATGACATTTTCGGTACAGATGTTTATATGGGGGGCTTCTCTACATGGAAACGCTGAGGATCACCCAGGATACCAACTGATGGTCTTCCCACCTCTTCATAATGTACATTAGGTATAGTACAAGTGTCAGGTGAAAAGAGAGCCTTAATAAAGCATATATCATTCATACCCCTGTATAAGACCTCCCAAAAGAGAAGTTTGATTTGCATAAGGCACCATTATTAAGGTCAACAGTGCATTAACAGGTAGAAAACCAGAAATTAGACCTCAAGGCATAAATAAAAGATAAGAAGGTAGATGTTGGAGGCAATGGGGGAAACAGCTGCATGAGTTTCTTTTTTTAAATATCCATCTCTAACCTACAGTGGTTCTATCCACCCAATAGGATGAAGTAAAAAATAATTCAAGGAAAAAAAAACCACTATTTGGGTTTGGTATGTTATGTAACATTAAACCAATTGCAGTGTAGGAGCTTTGAAGTGGAATTGGAGAAAGAGAGAGAAAAAAAGAGAGAGAAAAATGGCAGTCCTGATTTCAGAATGGGAAAGCATTTAGTTCTTCAGAACCATGCAATAAACCTTTGTATTATAATGAAAAAAAGTTATAGGTTGTGTTATATTGTAAATACACAGCTTATACAATGGATTACAAATGAGCTCTGTAGCAAGTCAGACAAGCTACCGGAGACATTGCACATTTAATAGCTGGACCAGACACCAAAAGCTCCTTTCACACAGGATAGGGGCCCGTGCCAACATTTCTCTAGTCTGATTTTCCTTCCCTCCCTTCAGAAACCAAAAATAAAATAAAAAAGGTGCAGAGACCATTTCCCCCTCCCCCATCAAAAGAATGCACATCCTTCCATCTTACATAACACTCTTCACATACACGCCCCCCCCCCAAGTTAAAAATAAAATTTAAAAAAATCCCACGTTCAGACAGCTTTTTCTCTCTTACAGTTAGAAAACAACAAGGAACAAATGTTTTTTTTTTCTTTAAAAAAATGTGCCTCAGCATCCAGTCATCCAGTAGATCCTCCATAACACACAGTTGTCCATTCATTAACACTCCCAGTTTGCTCACGGCAGAAGGTGTCGGAAGCCATTCGGAAGGTTTGGTCCCCTGGGCTGGAGACCTGCACCGTATGGTCACTGCAGCCATTTCTTACATGACTTATCTAGCCCTCTAAAGACCTTCCAAGGAAGAGAAGACCTGGAGGCCACGGAGTTAGGGTGCAAAATGGCATGCTTTGGCTGGAATATGCATCCTTTCTTCCAAGGCCAGCTTGACCTCAAAGCCTCTTAGCCCACAATCATTCAGAGATGTCTCTTCATGTGAAGAGCCAGATGGTCAGACCTGGAGAAGCACCTGTCCATCAACAAAGAGAAGACAGTTAAGGTCAGGTTTCAATGGGGTTTTCAAGAAATATGCTGGATTTTCAAGGGGTTTTCAAGAAATATGCTGGATTTAGGACACCCAAAGGCACTTTTTTCCAAGAGGCAACTGGACTTTCTTCATTTTTCCTTGAAGACATTTCGCTTCTCATCCAAGACGCTTCTTCAATTCTGACCATCAGAACTGAAGAAGCTTCTTGGATGAGAAGTGAAATGTCTTAGTATGGTAGACATTTGGATTAAGATAGATTATTGAAACTCTGAATTTACTGACAACTCAGAAAGACAGTAATTCCAGATGGATAACTTGACTACAAGGTTCTTGAACTATTTCTTAGTCTTGATGCATTTCTCGTAAAATGAGAATATTAGTCACCTTCCTCACTCATGACTGATATGTTATCAACTGCAACTCAGCTATGCATCATGCTTAATTACAGACACCTGCAAAGGGTTGAATAACTCCCATTACAATTAATCCAGTGCAGCAAGATACTGCCTGCTAAATGTGCAAAACAGTGGAAGGATCACTCCGCCACGTGTCTGGAATGCACAATACTGCATTGTAGCTAAAGGTTTTGCAAGTGAGCTGACACTTCAGCACACTGATTGTGATCTTGTCAGTCACCAGCCAAGTAAACATCTACCTTTATTATATCAGCATGTTAACATTGCAACAGCTCATGGTAACAAGAATGCAGTGAAAATTGCTCTTTCGTTAATCCAGAAACTATCCAGAAATTATTTCAAATACAAATGTTCCAACTTCATTATGAAGCTGGAACACTTCCAGGAAAGTTGGAAAAGCACTGGAACATTTCTGGTAAGGTTAAAACAGAACATTTCAAATTTGGGGTGTTTGTACATCGAATGTTTTGCATATCTCTTTCAATGTGCAAGGGACAATTGTAAGAATAGAACTTCCCAAAACAGAGGTCCAAATTTTTCTCCTGAATAAAAGAGGTCCTGTTTATATTTAAGATAAAACAATACTATTGGCATCAACAGAGCTAGATGAAATTTGCTGCTTTCTAAGCATGGGGGAACAAAGTAATATAAAACAAGATTCCTTCTACATACCTGTCACAGTGATTACACTTAAAAGGTTTTGCACCCGTGTGCTTTCTGAAGTGTCTGGTTAGTTCATCACTCCTTGCAAAACGCCACTCACATCCTTCCCATGAGCATCTGTAAGGCTTTTCTCCTGCAAAACAAAAACAAATAAACAAAAAAACCCGCACCATACAGGAAACAAAGTTGGTTATTCTATAGTTCACTAGGTACTTTCAAGAATGCTGATGGAAATTTTGTTTTTCAGCTGACAGCTTTCCTCCAGCAGTAAAGTATCCCATCCTGACAAAAAGATTCCAGTAATCTAAACTTTCTGGAATCCTCTGATTCTGAAAATGATTTTATTTTTATTTTTTTACAAAAAGGTTTGAAAACTCACCATGTATCTAATCATTTGGTTCAATTAAGAACTGTTTTCAGATTATCAGATTTACAAATGCTTTATAAAAATGCCTCTTCATTTCTTTGGGCCCTAATTAAAGGAGAGGTGTCAATAAGGGTATAAAACCATATTCTTAAGAGTCCACTGGACTGAGATGGCTAATAAATCTAAAAAAATAAATAGATTTTGCTTACCTTATTAGAACAATGGTTTTGGTTTCAACCATTTCCATCTTCACTCGGAACACTTCCTTACCAATGAACTTAAAATAAGAGGTCTGTAAACTCTACCCTACAAGTTATGTTTCCTGCATTGTTTTGTTTCTCTCTGTAAATATCCAGTAAACACTGCAGATGCTTTATATGGGCCAAATGGTGGGTGGAGAAGAAAAATAAGGAATAAAATCATCCTTAGTAGCACACTGAATTTAACATTTTCCCCCCAACTACATTTAAGTTATAGGTTCTGGGTAAATGTTGTTTTCTCTTTTCCTGATAACTATCATATGTATTCACTTTCAATTTTATAGCACAATGACATAGAACACAATCATCCTTTTTTTCTTTCCCCTGCTTACCCAAGGGTTAATTGGTAAAGTAGAATAGTTCTCCCTGTAAGATGTGAAAACAGCATTTATGAGAAGGAGGAACCCTTTTAGCTTGCCTCAAAATGTACAGCTTTGCCGTGCATATTTATAAGTGATTTGGTGCATCTAACCACGAAGTCATTAAAAGCAGAAGAATATTTATGGTCAAAAGCAGCCATGGCAGCTTCTTACATTATAAAAAATTTATACAAGTTCTGATTCCACTCCACATCTTTTCAGGCTGCTTGCTCTAGGGAACAGGAATGTATTATGACATTTGAGTTTCACCAGGATAAAACTCTGTAGGTTTGTCATGAATGGAAATGCACCACAATCAAATGGTCATAAATCAACTATAATATTTCAAGGAAATGATGCATGTGGAAAGTTAATGTGCAGCACAAATACTACAACTGAACCAGAATTAAGCAAGCATTTAATTAGGGTTTATTGACTAAACTATAATTGCTTTGGATCACATAACCTACTAACCATATGAAAGTTTAAGGTGATATGGAATCCAACCCATTTTAAGGTGTTTTAGATTCTTCTTTACCAAGAAATTCTGGGTTTTCCTTTTTGTTATCTAATTTTAGATTTATCTCCCTATTTTTACTGGATTTTTTTTCCCTCTGAGAAAAGATGAAATAATTATTCACCTTCTCAGGCATGGGGTAATTTAACCAACAGAAACCAGCCATGCACAAACAAATAAATGAACCAGACAGTTTAGATACAAATTTGCAACGGGCTTATGGAAAAAGAATGAGGAAGTGAGGACTTGCATTCTGGGAAACTTTAGCTGGTATTGCATTATCTAATGGCCCTGAGTTCTTGCTCGAGAAATTGTGTAAGACTATGACACTGAAGCATCAAGGTCTTCTTTAGCATTATCTGCTAGAGGCAATTCGGAAGCTAGCCAATTCCAAATGGCCATCTGAAGATTAGTGTTTTTGGGAAACACTTCATAAGATTCTTCCTTATGATATTTTGTGTATGCTGGCCATGAAAAGCAAAAGATATGAGAGAGAATGGTTACACCATAAAGTATGAACCAGCAAACAGCTGGAGTAGACTTTGTAAAGTACAAGTGGATGGAAACAACCACTAGCAAACCACATTTTGAAGGTGCAAGACACTGAAAAATATATTAAGAGGAAATGGACTTCAAAGGAAATAGGAACTGGGAACAAATGAAGTTCCCTTCTTGCACTCATCTCCTGCCTTTCTCCACAACGGATGTTGCAACATTTCTATGGAGGCGTTCTACAGGGAATACATGCAGCTGCACCATGCATTCAGTTCCTGGTCTAAGCCTTTCCTGGCCAAGAGTCACGAAAGCATGAATTATGGAAATATACATGATGCAACTTGACACCATCTCATTTATGAGAGATTATCCTAAGGTCAATAGACACAGTACAGAAGGCAAGACACGTTCATCAGTCCTAGAGGCCATATGAATACTCACCTGTATGGGTACGCTGATGTGCTTTCAGATGTGAACTTTTGGTATAAACCTTCCGGCACCCATTGAAGTGACAGCGATGAACTCGCCTTCTCCCATCAGGAGAGGCATCACCACTGACCAGGGTACCTTTTTCCACAGTCTTTCCACCAGTACCAGTACGGATTTTGCCAGGTGAATGCAATTCACTGGGGGCACAATTCCATGGTTGAGAAGATGGCTCCTTGCCCAGCTCAGGGGAAGAAGGAGGAGTAGAAGTGACAGATGAATTCAAGTTTCCAGCACTGGCCAAGCTTAAGACATCATTTATGATATCCGAGGTAAATTTTGTTGTAGGAGAAAGTTCCTCGGAACTATCTGAAGATTCACTACTAATATCAGAATTCAGACTGTTAGTCTCTAAAGTCTGATTATTAAGGTTGTCCTCCTTTGGAGCACTTGCTGTCTTTAGTTCAGATTCCTCCTTTTTCTCCCGTGCCAAAATAATTTTGGTCCACAAGTCCTCCTGACTGTCAAATTTTATTTCAGAGGCAGACACGTAGCAGGGCTCACTCTGAAGATATCGCTCCAGCTCTAAGCAAGTCTACAGAATTAAAAATACATAAACAGATATTTAAAAAAACATTCACGTCTAAGAACATTCTGAAAAATTTAGCAGGAAGCCATGCACACTTAAAGTTGGAGATTGTATTTCTGGTTGCTAGTGTGCTTTAAAGTTAAAGGCCATTCAAGTTCCAACTGATGAATGTTCCAAGAAACAGTGTAATTCTCATGAACTTGTCAAGAATGCACAGTCAAAAATAGTAACCCAGCTACATTCTTTAAGCATTTCCCTTATGAGTTAACTAAATAGGCATCTCGTAGAAACATTTCAGTGGGATTAGCTTTAAAGTAAATGCTAACTTCTCCACATTTTATTTAGGTTATTTTATTAACTAACGTTGTCTGGAAGAAAAAAAACCTCAACTGAACTTCCACTAAGTGGACAAAAATTACGGTTTGCACTCTAAATTTAAGCTGTATATGTTGTGATAGATTTTACATCTTTCAAGCCAAGACATTTCCTGCACATGAGAACTCAGCCTAAAGGAGACACTGAAAGAATGTCTAAATATACAGACATGAGTCTGTCGTAAAATGAGGCATTTCTTGCAGAGAGAATAGAAACATCATCAGCAAAACCTCCAGATTTCTAACAGGATATTGAATGAAAGAGACAAAAGGAAAAAGCATGGGAAACTCCAACTTTTAAGGTCCTAATGCTGATTCCAAAAATGAAGGAGAACTTTATCTGCTGGTCAAGAGTAGCTTGGTTATGAGTCATTCCCTTGTTTCTTTTACTCAGTGCCAAAAGAGACTTCCTTTTAAAATTTATGACTCTCTGCCAAGAATGCTCATGGTTGAAATCTACATGCAATAGGACAGATTTTTTTTAAAAATTCCTCCACTAAGACACCAACAGGACAGTGAACAGCATAGTGAAAGGCTGGCCATGCTAATCCTCTGGATTGTATTAATAATCAGATTCTAGGCAAAATGGTCAGTGTAGCATGAGCTATGTGATTTTCAGCAACAGCCCTTCCTCCACAATTGTGTGAGTGAAATAAAATGCTACACACAAACATGCACGCACACACCATTTCAGCATCAATTTAAATTGGTCATAGTACCCTGTACACTGCTTCTCCTGAGAATTAAACATACCTATCTGGACATAAGCTTTATTAAACTGAGAAACTTAGGCAAAGGTGCAGAAAAATAAATTGTATGTTGCTAACATATTGGAGGAGGGGATGCACAGGGGAAGAGAAAGCAAAATATATTCTATCTGATCAATATTTTTAGGTTCCCCTATAATGATTGTAGCAAACCTTCTAATATCTTACAAAGGTACTGACCACAGAAGAAAATGTATAGAAAGAACAGGTTTGACCTTCAGAAATAGATTTAAAATTCTGCTGTTAGGCAAAATTATTTCTGGGGGGGGAAAGGGGGGCTTAAAATGATTATGAAGGCTACAAAGAGCCAAATTTGGGTTTTAGCAAAATCACCCAAAAAAACCTTGTTAGACCCATTATTAGGGGGAAAAGAAGACAAGCATGTGTTATAAATCTGCCAATCCTCAGATTTAAGAAGATTGGCAGAGTTTCAGATTTCAACCTCCAAAATCAGGTTTTCAAGCCTTACAAATGGAAACCCAGATGAATTAAATTGGGTTACAGAGAGCAATCATCACAGTAATGGAGGCAAGTAAACATGTCTTCTCAGTCCCACATTCGAGGGAAAATCCCAAGCAAGGCAAAAACATTTTCCAGTGTTTGGAATTCAATGACATGGACTAAAAAAAAAAAAAAAAAACTTGTCCATTAAAGGCAACATGCCTCAGATTTTCCTCTATTAGGACTTATAAGGTGAAAGGGGGGGGGGAATAATTGTCATATGACTGACAACTCGTTCTGCGGGGAGGGGGGGCTGTTTTAAAAAAAGCTGTACATAAGCCTACCATAAAAATAGTACAGTACTGAAAGAGAGGATCCCCCCCCCCATTTTTGTGAGAGGATGTTCGGCGGGGGGAAGGGAAGCACGGAGAACAGTATTTCCAAACACAGAACTGTTCGGATGACAAGTTCTCCTTATAGCAATTGGCTTTGCTTCAAAAGGGAGGGGGGAGAACGGAGAGGGGGAAAGTTGTTTTTTTCTCTCCCAAGAGTCGGGACAGCAAATGGGAAAGGCAAAAACTTGGGAATCCGATTCGATTCCATTGTATGGTTTATTTAGAATAGCCAGCTTTCATTCTAGGGGCTTGAGGTCTGCCTGCACCGATGAAAGCTGGGCACAGCGAGAGCAAACGAGCGTTCAAACACCACACACACACACACACACACACAGCGGCTGCTCACAAGTTCTGACAGCCACGTCCACTGAGAAGGGGGAATGAGAACCGGCATGCATTGGAAAAAGGAAATAAATAAATAAATAAATAACACATGTCCTTCGCTTGCTAAGGGCCCAGATTAAAATAGCTTCTTCCCCCCCCCCCCCACCAAGAACCCTTTCAATGACATTCATATCTTTCTTTGAATTTCGATCTTTGCCATGAAGCATTCCTGATCCGGGCAAATAAATAAGTAAATAAATAAATATATATATATATATATATATATATATATATATATATATACATTTTAAAGAAGCGCTGAAGCTTACGCATGCCTGTGGTCCCCCAACGTTAAAAACCCGAAATGGTTGCAAACATAGCCCATCCTCCTTTACCTGTTGCCAGTATTCCTCCAGAGATGGTAAGGCGGAGAAGTAACCAGTGTCGTGAACAATCTGGAGTTCCTGAAAGATGCTACACATTGGAAGTACATCCATGCCTTTCGTGGGGGGAAGGGGGGACGGGTAGGGAAGAAAAGTTGCAACCAGGAGCCCTCCGCAAAGACAGCGTCCGAAAGCTGGGGTCCTTTTCGCAGGTCGGAAGAACGGAGCAGCGCGACGGAGGTCTCTGGCTCCGGCTCTCGGTTGTAATCGCCACAGCAGGTGATGGTGACAGAAATAAGACCAGCTATTTACAAAAGTCTCACTTCCTCCTCCTCCTCCTCCTCCAAAGAAAAGACCACCGAAATCAAAGCAAAAAAAATCAAGAAAAAAAAGGGGGAAAAATCATTCAGCAGAAAGTACGTTAAGGGGGAAAAATAGCAATCTACCGCTAGATATATATTAAATTCCTGTTCAGAATTTCAGACGAAGTTTTTATATAGGTATATATTTATATATATTTTTTATATATATATATAGACGTATATATTTTTTAAATAATATAAAAAGCAAAGTTTCATGCAAAGTTTAATTGCACAGCAATAGATCAAGGTTCTTTTGGCCTTTCTCTTTTGGCTGGTTGGCTTTTGTTGTTTTCTGTAGCTTTTGCAGAGTCTCCCCGATGCTGCTATTGAGATTGCCTTCCACTCCTGGGGCTCTCTCCAGAAGATAGTTGCTGAGAAGCCTACTCAATATTTGCAAACACCGAGGTGACTGCAAATGTAACCCGCTGCAAAAGTTCCCTTTCAAAAGCTCTCCTTGGCCGTCACCTCCCCCTCCTTCTACTCCCTCCTCTTTTCTCCCCCTCCCTTCTGCTGAAAGCCACATTCGCTCCTCCCCTTTACTCCTCTCCCTCCCCCCTCCCTCCGCCACCTCGTGATCCCATTACGCCGGCTCTGAATGCTGCCCAATCTATAACAACAAACTCGTTACACCGCGTTCCAATGATGTCAGACTAGCCCAATGGCCGCGCGCGGCGCATCTCGGCTCCTCCTGGCGTGACCGAACTTCTCCGTGACGCCTCACCCCATTGGTCCGATTCGAAATTCGACCCGTCCTGATTGGCCCTGGGAGCGAGAGGCTATTTTTAGAAGGGTATATAAGACTGGAAAGCCGTTTTAGAGAAGCGACTCAGAGTCAGAGCGTTTGCTTGTTGTTTGTCGTTGCTGGGGGTTGGTGGGGGGGGGGAGGTTGCTGTAATACCGAAAACGAAATTGGGAGGCGCTGCTAAGCCGCGCATGGGGCGCTTGGAGATGAAGATGTTAAGCAATTTGCACAAGCTGCAATAAACAAGCGGAGGTAGCGCATGATATCAAAGCGGGCTATTTGGTCTGCAAAAAAACCCGGACGATTGCTAGATCTCAAGACGAAGATGTGGGAAGTTCTTTGTCCTACCATCTAGTGGCCGTCCGGATTTTGGAAACATTTAGAAGAATATCCGGGTGCATTTTCCGCAGGAAAATATTTTTTCCTTTCGTGTGCGCGTGCACGAGCCTTCTTTTTCCACACACACCCCCCCCCCCCATTTTAATGCTGCTCGCTCGACCCTGTATTCTTCACCCCTGCCTTATGCTCTTCTTGCACGGTTTCTCAGGCTGCAGCGCAAATCCCTCGGCCCTTTCCTCCCCCTTTCTGAATGAGCAGAAAGAGCCCCCCCCCCCAAAAAAAAACCCCTTCAATGTGTTTCATACAGTGGCTTAACTGGAATCTGGGGGTCCGTTTCCCCCTCTGGATGACTACACACTAAGTGACTGAAGGCAGTTTCTGCAGTTTCGCTTAATGTTCTCGTGCCAAGTGTCTTTTAATCCTCGTCAATAACTGCTTTCGTGGAGGTGTGTATTATTTATTTGGAGTTTTACCTTTTCTCTTGTGGAGCTCCATAGAACATTACGGTGCAATAACAGCAAAAAAAAAATGCTTACAAAGTACTTCCTCTCCCTCCCCCCCCCCCCCCTTACGTTAACCATCAACTGGCGGGCAGTCTGCTTCTATTAAAAGAAGCTTGCATGATGGTTTTGGAGATGATACATATATAAAATAACCAGAATGCTTTTGTACTAAGAGTGTGATCTCAGAGTCCAAAGACCTTTTAAACAGTCCGGTGTAGTCAAAAATGAGACAACCGCATCTTGAAGCCCATTTTGCCACCTCTGGACATCCTGATTGTTAACAAGTCGCTTTTTTGTGGGGGGGGGGGGGGGAATCGTCTCCTTTAAATCAGCCCTTGCTCCTGCTGATTGTATGGTTATGTCTGTTTGTATGGTTATGTCTGTTTAAATTTCTTGTGTGAACAAAAGTAGTTTGCCATTGTCTTGGGATATTTTGTTAAAAGTTGGGATTTCCTACTGATTTTCCAACAGGGACTTGTTTTGTCAAGATCCGCAAGAAACACACTTGCGTTACCAACACTTGGCATTTCAGAAGTAAAAAAAGAAAGGTTAATGTATCAAGAAGCAGTCCATATTTAAAAAAAATGTTTCTGGTGTGATTGCAGATAAATACTGGACTTAATTACCCAATTTATCACCAAATCAGACCCTTCCTTTTCAAGATCAAGCAAGGTTGGCTAGCTGCTAAGATGTTAACAATGGCTTTGGTGTAATCCTGGTGCTTTTTATAAGTTCTGGCCAGTAACCTAAAAATAACTCTAACCAACATGTCTCAGAGTCAAGGATATAAGAATCGCTGTTTCACATACAGGCAGTCCTCGTATTTAGTGTTTGTTCAAAGTTATAACGGCAGTGAAAAAACGACTTATGACCATTTTTCACACTTACAACCATTGTAGCATTCCACTGGTCACATGATCAAAATTTGAACACTTGGCAACAGGGATGTATTTATGATTGTTGCAGTGATCTAGGGTTATGTGATCACTTTTTGCGACCTTCTGACAAGCAAAGCCAGTCGGGAAGCCAGATTCACTTAACAACCATGTTACTCACTTAACAATTGTAGTGATTCATTTAACAACTGACAAAAAGGTTGTAAAATGAGACAAATCTCATTTAACTATATTGCTTAGTAACATAAATTTTGGGCTGAATTGTGATCATAACTCAAGGACTACTTGTATAGAGATTGCCATTTCACATATAGGAATTGTTGGGGCACCACATTTTGCTAATTCTTAAACCATGAAGTAAAAACCACAGTGACTAAGTCCAGTTTTACTGCAAGTTGATAAATATGGTTTCTAGAATCCCACCAGTAAAATGCCTCTGTGATTTAGCAGAATCAATGAATTTAGCTAAATTCAGATAAAGGTAGTTCTTTGGCTTATTACTACTTACTGGAGGCTAAAACATATAAGGAACGGTTGCTGGAATTGGGTATGTCTAGTTTAATGAAGAGAAGGACGAGGGGGGACATGATAGCAATGTTCCAGTATCTCAGGGGTTGCCATAAAAAAGAGGGAGTCAAGTTATTTTCCAAAGCACTTGAAGGCAGGACAAGAAGCAATGGGTGGAAACTAATCAAGGAGAGAAGCAACCTAGAACTAAGGAGAAACTTCCTGACAGAACCAGTGCTTTTTTTCAAAAAAAAAAAAAAAAAAGGTGCCAGAACTCACACATGTCATACAACCCGCCTTGCCTACCCTACAAGGTTCCATCCCAAAAAGGTGCCGGAACTCCATTCTGGGCGTTCTATGAGAAAAAAAAAAGCCCTGGTTAGAACAATTAACCAGTGGAACAGCCTGCCTCCAGAAGCAGTGAATGCTCCAACACTGGAAGTTTTTAAGAAGAGACTGGACAGCCATTTGTCCGAAACGGTATAGGGTTTCCTGCCTGAGCAGGGGGGTTGGACTTGATGACCTCCAAGGTCCCTTCCAACTTTATTATTATCTCAACAGCCCCTCCCTATGGTCACGTGACCACATTCCAAACATTCAGCAACCAGCCTGCATTTTCAGTCATTTGTAGCACCCTGCAAGTCATGTGAGCCAAATTTAGGTTATTTTTGCCAAAACCAACACTTACTTCCAGTTTTCAGCAAAAACACCCCGTAGCAAAGAAAGGGTTTGCTTAACAACCACAGATTCACTTAATGCCTGTAGTGATTCGCTGAATGACTGGTACAAAAAAGTTTGTAAAATTGGGTCGGTCACATGACCTGATTTACAACGATCATGACTTATGACTAATGGGCAGGCTCCATTATGATTGTAAGTTGAGGAATTACAACTACAATGTGTTATATGCAGCATTCGATAGCCAAAGGGAAAAGAAAATCTTGCAGTCAATTTTCTAAGGGCTTACCACCTTTTGTGGGTCCATATCCTTTGTTGCTAGTGGCAACTGCATCCTCAGGGACCCAATAAAAAGCAAAGAGAGGTGGTGTCATAGGAAGAAACCTTAAATACATTTCCCACATTTGCAATGAGCACCATCTTGCAATGTGCCTTGTGGGAGTATCCTATGACTATCACTAAGTGTTGCATCTTATGATTTATGATGAATTGTTGTATTTTACAATTTATAATGAATGTATTTTCATGCTGTTTATGATCATGGTTATCACTATTACTTGTATGTACACTGAGAGCTTATGCACCGGAGACAGGTTCCTTGTGTGTCCAACCACATTTGGCCAATAAAGAATTCTATCTTTGTGGTCTTCTAAAGCAAACAGTTGGTGTTCCCTGAGTGCATTTGATTATGGAGAAGTTTCTTTCTGTATCACTGCTTGCTGCAAAGCAATTGGTATCGTAGAGATTATTATTACTTTCATGTCCTGTGGCGCTTGATCATGTCAGCCCTCCCAACAGGGAGTTATCACCAATGGTGTGACAGCATGATTTATCACTAGTGTCCACAAAGAACAGAAGCAGTGGAAGAAGGAATGGCTGTGCATACAAGAGCATAGAATTGGAAGGGCAGGGATGAGCATTTGGAAACCAAAGCTGCATCGGATCCTTAAAATCTGGGATAGGAGTGGAAATTTAAGCTGAGACATGAGAGAGAAATCATTTTTATGCAACATTTAGTCAGTATTGACTAAACTCTGTTCTCTGGAATTAACCGAGTTTTCTGGGCTTATACACCAGTCTGAGCCATCAGCTAAACATGGGATCCTGAGTGCTCGCATCACTATGAGCCAAACCAGATGACTACATTAAAGTTCTATTTTCTTTTCTTGAGGCAGTGGAAAAGTATGCTGGGATAAACTGTCGTCATTGCTGATCTCTGTTCTGCTTTATTGTCATGGCTGTGTCTTGTATTGCTCTTAATGTGGGGCAAGTTAAGGAAAGTAATTAATTGCTGGGTTTTCCC